ATCTTCATCATTTGGATGAAGTGATCCGTTCAACCAGTCGCTTACAGGAAGACCTTTTTCTGTCCACTCTGCTTTTACACTGACCAAAGAGTAAAGGTTCGTGGTGTACCTACACGCAGCGTGTTTATGTATGGTGCTGAGTCAGCTCCCTCCAGATGGCATCACTCCATGTGGCACGGCATAGTTGATGTCATCACCTACCGCTGTAGAGCTTTCACGTGATTGGTTTCTGCCCAGTGACTCAGATGGTGGAGATGCAAGGGGACAAAACATGGAACAATGATATGCATTCATTTGTTACAAAAAAGAAAAAGAAACAGAAATGCACACCATTCACACACAACACTTGTTTATTTGTGCATGCAATCGCATATAAATAATTCAAGGTCTTCCAGTGCTTCCTCAGTGGGTGACAGCTTTGTGTTTTTAATGGCCTTCAGCCAGCTGTAGCAGCAGAAGCCTTGAGGTATAATGGGAGGAAAGGCTCATTGTTATCAGTGTGGAAGGAGTCTTTCAGGGATTCTCACAGTGAGTCAATTATCCGGATTTGAGGGTCAGAAACGCTGACATTTGTTTCTATAATGATTTTTATTTTTGTGCACAACTGTCTTGTTTTATAGACATGGAGAAAGCATTAAGTACACAGTCTGTGTGACCTGAGTGTAATGTCTGGCAAACACTTATGAGCGCTGTCTCGTCCTCTTGTGTGAGTGTGTTTTTTTGTGTAAAAGGGAGAGAGAGGGAGCAGGAGAGAGAGAGAGAGAGCAGTGTATGGTTTATGCTGGAGTAGTGGTGGATGTGGAACTGCATCTCCATTAGAATGTGTTCACGTGAAACATAATGTACAGTATTTGTACTGCAGTGTTCCAGATTATATGTAGGCCGTGCTGTGTTGTATAAATGTCAGAAATCACCTAACACACACCGGCACATTAATTATTTTGTGTTTACTCATCCTTCACCGCGCTGTCCTGTCATGAGACCCTGACGGGTTCCCATATATTCATTTCCAGCTTCTTTCTTAGAAGGAACATTTGAATAGTTCACCATGACATTTAGAGCATGATGTAACAGTCTTGGTAAACTTGGAGATTCGTTGTATGCTAGGTGAGGTCGACCAAAGTAAAGAGTTGTTGATGACAGCTGGGGTGAACAAGTACAGGAAAGAGGAAAAAGTCAGGGTTTTTGAGAAACTTTCCTCCACTATCCAGATGAAAGGTGAAGGGGTCCATGTTGCAAAATTCCCAGAACAAAAGACTGGTTTCTTTGTGTGGCCATGTTGCTCAAATATTGCCTGCTAGAGCAATATTTTAGCTAAGAACATACATCACACGATGACGAGGGCTGAAAGCAATTGCCTGTAGTGTTTCCTTCTCCGATTGTTTTACGAGTGTTGCTTTTATTCTTGTCAGCCCCCACTCTGTGTGATTTACAGAAGTGAAACATTAGCCATAATTGATATTTTACCATTGATTTATTCATTTTATTTTAAAGAACCTCTTAAATAGACGCATCCATGATTTGTTTCATATTTTTAGCTTTTATGCTAGCCAATGCAGGCTACAGTTGCTTTATAATACAGTTTCTTTGCGATAGCGTAGTTAAATTTGTTGTGTTGAAAGTAGTCGTTTTTGTCCCTTGGAAACGTCACCATTGGTGGGTTTGTGTTGTCGTCCTCCCTAACAGTAAAAACCCTACAGGCTAACAAAGATATGTTGTGTTAGCGCTGGTTTAGTACAATTTGGTTTATCTTTATTTAGCATGTATGCTAATGGATCACAGTATTATTTTTTTTCACAATTTACAAACAAAGTTTCTAACTTGACTTTAGATGCTAAACTCTTAAACAGCTTCTTTTGCTAACAGTGCAGTCTGCTCTGAGTGGATGTCATTATTTCTTGGAGCTTTAAAGTTTCCCTCTGGAGTTTATTTTTGCCTCCAGTATCACCGCGGGGCGATGTCTTTATGAAAGACGCTCGTCTGTTATGTCTGTCGTAGACACACAAACACAAGTAACACAATCACCTGGGGAACGAAGAGCACTCTGCACATTTACAGTACTGTACTGATCAGCAGTTTGTTAGAACAGATTTTGTGCCAGCT